GGGCAGTTAGTTCTCTTCCCGACCTGTCTTTCTATCCGGTCAAAATCAGACCAAAACTGCGGCATTTTCAGTTCCCTGTTGTCTAGCAATGAAGTGAAGTTAGTCTCTGTGCGCTTATATCTTGAAAGCAAGAACATGCTGTCGTCCTGACGGCTATTGCATAGTCTGACACATCTGGTCTTGCAACATGTGCTACCAACCATGAAAGGGACGCTCGCTGTTTTCACCAGGATTCGGAACTTCTCGATGCGAGGACGTTGATGTCGTTTCTCTTCAGCCGGCATTCTGACACTCATGAATAGCATGTCACTTTTGGACAACGCGGAACTCAGCTTTTTCAGAAATCCGGCATCATAAGTCTCTCCAGTCTGACGTCCTTGAATTGGCGTGTTTTCAACCCTAGTGTGTTGAGTACATCGTCTTTCAAACCTGATCTCCTCTGAGTCTGACTTTTTAGGTGCTCGGCGTATTTGAAACCCAGCGTCTTTCAAGCGTGGGGTCTTGAGCGTTCAACGTCTTTCTAGGCTTGCTCTTTCTCGATCAACGTCCTTCACGGTCCTTTGATTTGCCTTCTGTCCACTGCCACGTCAGTTGAGAGGTCACCTAGCCGTCATCAGCCCCGCCTCTCTGCGTTACCTTTCAATGAATTTCATCACTAGCGGTCGTCCGAGAGGTAGGGAGTGCCTCTAGGGCGCTCGTGCCACGAACTGGCCGGCGGAGGACAGGTTAGTGTCAGGCCGACATCGTCCCGCCCCGTAGGAGCTGTCAACACAGAGGCACGAGACGGGCGGCCGAGGGTTGGGGACCCTGCGCGGCCCCTCTGATATGCAGATAGCCGGCGAGATGTCAGTGCAAGACCATATACATTACAACGCATGGCGATACCCAGACAGGCGGTCGTTGAGCATTTCTGGTTCGTAATATCCAGGCAGCTGCAAGGTAGATGATTGCTTGCATGCTTGTTTTCATGCGAAATGCTTATGAATAGTAATGGCGGTAGGTAAGTATCTAAAATTCAATTAGCTCTAGCCATTTGTCATGCCACAGGCTGATAATTCTCGGATGATTGATTGCCTACAGGTACGTTTATTTGTAGGCATCATTTTTGTGGCCACCGATCAGATGTGTGAGGGAGATTTATTCACATTAGTGAGTATTTTTAGTATGCCCATACTTTCACATTCAACCCGACTTCGAAAGGTGATTGTGTCTTAGCCGCTTAGGTACTCTATAAGCAGATGTATACTTCCTTTCGTTTACTTAGTCATCCGGCTACTTGATAACCAAAGGCAGTCATTATCAACTAAAATGAGTAAGCTGTACCTGTTAAGACACCGATGAAGCTATTTTTCGTGGTTCAGAACAACCACTAGACTAGGTCCCTAAAACCTGGATGATTCACGGTACACATTTTATACCTTATCGGCCTTCAGCATGTCGGAATTTTCCCACACGGCATAAAGCTCCGCCAACTCATGGCTGACCCGAATTAGTCGCCCGTTGTTTTAAACATTTTATGCGATCAACATTAGCGATACGTGTGGAATGCGCCACTGCACACCCCTTCCGTAGGTGTCAGATTGAATCACTTCCCTGGGACGTCACATATGGCCGGCCGTTGCATGTCCTGCCCGTATCGTTTGGATTGATTGGTTTAACGTTGCTGGTTGTGACGGACTGACAAGTTGTCGGATGACGACTGACTTTGACGGCTATCATTGGTTGCTAACGGTAGGCTGTGTCAGTCATGCAATGAGCCACTGTTGATGGGCGAAAGAACACGCTATGTAATGTTGTGGTGTGGAGTTTGCACTGGTGCTGTGTAGTACGATAGGAATTAGGTGTGATTAGTCAGTGTTCTGCATACTGGGGGAATGTGTCGGCTTTTGAGGAGGAAGTCTTGCACCGGGCGAAAGGGATAATCCACGAAAGGCCAACCCAAAGCGAACACGGAAGCCATTACTTGTTGAATATCCACGCTCCGTGTCATGGTCCAAAGAGCCAAAAGTATGCGGGTGACGGGCATTTGTGTAGTCTGAATTCCACTCTCACAAGCTCTATAGACTATAAGCATCATGTGTTGTATCAATTCATGTGTATGGGTAGGGCTCGGTCATTGAGAAATGAGTTGTACCGACCAGGGTCACGCTGTCACCAAATGTTGTCATCTGTTCTTTACACTGCCACACCCAGGTATATGTCGGCAAGATGTGTACTTCTGCAATGTTCAGTGTGTTCTATTCGGCTTACTGCAGGTATAAATATCGTGGTAATCTATATATCGTATTGACCATTCGTGTCCAGTTGTCTGATGTCATTGTCGTTTCGGCCCGTAATGTAAGGTTGTTATCTGTGGCGGAAACACTTTTCAGCTACGATTTAATGCTATCGGTGAAAGTGACATGATGATGGAATTGGCAAAGACGTATATAGGCGCTTACAATAAAACAAAGCTAGTCGGAGGCTTCAGATCAAGGACTGACAAAGGATTATATAGGTGCTTACAATAAAACAGCCCTTGCGATGGTTTTAGATCAAGGACGGCCATAAAGTTTTTTATGTCATTCGATTGGCAATATTTTGACTGGACAATCCTGATGTCACGCCCATATAAAACACTAAGCGGAAGTGCCTGTTCCAGAAACTTGGTGTTGCGGTACACTAAGGTTTATAGCGATGTAAGATACCGATAGACATGCAAACACATGAGCGACTCCTCCCCTTACATGTTCTCTGTTTTCCTGTCTAACACTCTCTTACACACGCTATCTATCATGCTACTGTTCAGGTTCCATGTGTTATGCACGCTGGTCGTTCAACAGCATGTAAAATCTGGGACAAGTGAATAGCGCTTGCCTTAGAAGCAATAAGAATACGCCTTTTCAGTGTTGAGTAGTAGTTTTGATGTCAAACACCTTACAACTACCGAACTCGTCGGCTTGTGCTTGTGAAAACCCATGTTTTATGGATTCGTCATGAACTGAAGGGTATCTATATTCTGTCACTCCAGTTACGTATTTCGAAAGGAAATGTTCTACATTGCCAAGTGCAGTGTTCAGATAGTATCCTCAAAGGGACATTGGCTACTCGTGTTCTATGGTAATGTGAACAGAATGCGTGAATTCTCTTCTGCGGTCAGTGACTGTAATGCGGTAAGGGATTCTCAGTAGCTTGGTAGAGCAGCTTTTATGGAGCTAACACGTTTCCGTTGATAGAGGTAACTCTCTAATTCTTTATTTGAGACTATATGTGTAACATTTGTTAAACGTTCGTCAAAATTATAACCGGTGAGTCGCCACCGGGCCAGTCGCCGGCCAAGGTTTTGGGTCCCTCTTGCCATTCGCAACAGGCACTGCTATATCGGGGCACCCGAGCCCACAGCCACCCATTCATTCATTCGTACAAAATTGATTGTAGAATATCCTCTCTTGTTACTTATGCATGTATTTACCAATCCACAGAACTTCGATTCATCATCTCATATCTTTGATCTTCCCGTCGGTCATTGCCCGTTTCTACAGGCACACAGTCTAATTGATCGAGAGAGATAAACTTGGCAGCCCTTTCAGAGGTCACTTGGGCACATCCCTCTGAGACCCGGGCGGTCGATTTATCATCGCTTCCTTCCTGAGGTAGACGAATGATCTGTTTAGCCTGCGAAGGACCTCCTTCAAAACAGTTTACGGTTGAATTACCTGGTGTGAGTGCTGGTGATATATGCTGTCTAAATTGGCGGGTAAAGCGAAAATAGAGTGATAAAAATGGACTAATTGTGCTGAGGAGTTTGCTGCGAAGTACGTTTCTATTGATATGACCCAGTATGGAAGCTGAAGGTGCTCAGTCTAAGGTATGGCATATAGTTATGTGCATTGTGCAATGTCCTAAGTGTCTCTCATCCTAGCTATCTTTGTTGCAAACTTAGTTTGGTGTGTTCCGACTAAACCCTATCGAAAAATATTTCACCCTGTCATTTCAGTAGACGTGCCAGAATATGCTCCCCCGTCTGTAGAACATTATGCTTCAATGGGAGGTAGCAGCCACGATGAAATCCCCATTCTATCTTTATTTCCAGCGAACGGTGGCTTGTCCAGTATTGTTGACATCCTTCCCTTCGTCTAAATATCTTTCACCGTACCGCGGGCTGCTGGCCTAATATAACACCCCTTTCTATCTGTATTTCCAGTGGACGGCGGTTGGTCGAGCTGGGGCGTCTGGTCCGACTGTGAGCCGGCCTGCGGACCCGGCGTGATGGTCCGTCGCCGCTCCTGCGACAGCCCGCCGCCGATGAACGGAGGAAGGGAGTGTGTGGGACCGTCCCAACAGGCGGCCGACTGCAACTCGCTCTGTCCGCGTGAGTAGGGGGAAACACACTACGGGTGTGGGGGAATACACTACGAGTGTGTGGGAATACACTACGAGTGTGGGGGAATACACTACGAGTGTGTGGGAATACACTACGGGTGTGGGGGAATACACTACGGGTGTGGGACCGTCCCAACAGGCGGCCGACTGCAACTCGCTCTGTCCGCGTGAGTAGGAGAAATGCACTACGAGTGTGGGGGAATACACTACGGGTGTGGGGGGAATACACTACGGGTGTGGGGGAATACACTACGGGTGTGGGGGAATACACTACGGGTGTGGGACCGTCCCAACAGGCGGCCGACTGCAACTCGCTCTGTCCGCGTGAGTAGGGGGAACTGCAAGAAATGCAGTGCGGTGTATGGGGAATACAATACGGGTGTGCGAGATGGCACTACGAATGCATAGAAAATGTTCAATGGGCTAGTAAAGAACTCGTTTCGTGTGGTGGACAGTGGACACTGACAGCAGTCAAATTGTCAAAGATACGACAATTAACTCACCACCATGAAAAGGCAGTCTCCGCCCGTCTCTCTCTCTCTCTCTCTCTCCTCTCTCTCTCTCTCTCTCTCTCTCTCTCTCTCTCTCTCTCTCTCTCTCTCTCTCTCTCTCTCTCTCTCTCTCTCTCTCTCTCTCTCTCTCTCTCTCTCTCTCTCTCTCTCTCTCTCTCTCTCTCTCTCTCTCTCTCTCTCTCTCTCTCTCTCTCTCCCTCTCTCCCTTCCTCCCTCCCTCACTCACTCACTCACTCACTCACTCAATCACTCACTCACTCACTCACTCACTCACTCACTCTCTCTCTCTCACTCTTTCTCTCTCTCACTCTCTCTCCCCCTCTCCCTCCCTCCCTCCCTCCCTCTCCCCGCCCAGTTCCCCGTCCACCCACCCCTCCCCACGCTTCGGACAGTGACTCTACCACGAGTAAATGTCCCGTGTCTTGGAATAGACCGAAACGGCTAACTGGACCGATTCGCCACATAAATCTGTAAACGGAAACCGGATCTGTGTAATTGGTCAGTGAAGGCAGTCGGAGATGGTGTTTGGGCGCTGAGTTTTCGGAAAAAAAAACGGACGTTGGTTTTATAGACTGGAACGGAGTCTCGGGAATGATGGGGTTTTTCGGCGGGCGGTGGACGTTGGTTGATGGGTGCTCGGGGGGGGGGGGGAGATGATGGTAGGGGATGGATCTGTTGGGAGGCTGTGGATTGACTCTGCATTGACTCATGGGTAATTGAGATGGACTACGGAGTATGGAGTCAGTGCAGTCCAGTAGCCCTTCGTTAGCTTTGTTGTATGACTCACGTGCAATAGCAGCAGGAGCACTTAATGTGCTCCTTAGTCCATATGCTGCTCTTTAACTTGGGGAGGGTGGCTTTTGCTTATACCGGAAGAAGTCAATGCAGTTCATATCTTGTATGCTACTTTATTTACTCAGGACTGTAAATGACTCTGCCTTTCATCGGTGGATGGTCATTACGGTCCTTTTCCAATCTATTGACTCTATTGACTCTACGACTGACCCTGCAGCTGTGGCCGGCGGATGGAGTCAATACGGCCCCTGGTTCGCGTGTGACTATTGACTCTGACTCCCCGTTTCAGCGGTGGCCGGCGGCTGGAGCTCCTACGGGCCGTGGTCCTCGTGTGATTCGTCCTGTCGCCAGTACCGCCACCGGACCTGCTCCGACCCGGCCCCTCAGCACGGAGGGACGCCCTGCGAGGGACCCGACAGGATATCACGGAACTGCTCACGAGATATGTGCTCAGGTGAGAGATTGGGTGAGAAGGTGTGCTTACTGCAGCTTAGGGGAGTTAACGAGTGAGAATATGTGAGATGGGTGCAGCTGGAAAATTGTTTGATCTGACTGGTTAATGATTTGTAAAAAGCATTCATTTGATACCGAAAGGGCATACTGGTATAGGTGCCACACTTTATGGATTGGATGTTTAAGAAATGCAGAGCGTTGAAGATCCACAAGGTGTGCGCTTTTTATGCTTGTTTGGAATCCCTTGTATTTCGGAGCTGAAGTGTTCCTAACCAACGCCTTTTTTCTTTTTCAGGCGGCGTAGTAAGCGGCCTCGAGACAACCCGAACCAATCAAGGTAAGACTTAGGCTTTACTCATCAAGTCATCAAGTCATCACTCATTTTGTATTTATTTACGAATTATTACCTATTGACAAACACTGTGCGAGCTTGCGTTGTCTTGCGCTCCAAGTATCGCTTCATTTATCATTATGACAGAATCTTTTTTTTCGGAACCGTCTGAACTTCTGAACCTCGCTTCCTTTTCCCCGCTTTCTGGGGAGTCAGCACATGTCCTCCCCTTCCTTTCGTGAAACTGGAGCCTCCTAATGACTCGCCGGGCGACAGATAATGACTCGGCCCGCGTGGTTAATGACTCCCTCCGCCGTGTCTCTGTTTATCGGCGCCAGTGTGAACAGAGCTCTAGTAAACATACAGAAGCCGTGTATGGAACGTAAGGGTAAACGGGTAAACATGGAGTGATTAAATGCCGCGCTGGTGGGTGGGGAAGATGGTGGGGGAGGGGTGCGGCAAAGGGTGTCTCATGGTTCTGCGTATGGGTATGCTAGGAGGAAAGCCATCGGGACAATCGCACGCACGTTTTTAAACATGACGGCTATTTTAGGGCTATTTCATTTATTTATTTTACCTCGTTGCAAGTTGCAACATAGGACACACTTCATTTCATTGATGAATAAATAATCATAGCTAAAGACGTAAATAATGCACTAAAAATTGCATTTCAGAAGCTCCGTGCGCAATTTCCTTGCATGTGTCACCAATAAATAAAAAGACCAAATATTAATCAGACGCTAATAACCGACAGCAGCAGAAAGCACAGTCACGCGTCCATTCCCCGTTGGCACAGAGTAATGTCCCTATGATTCACCCCTGCCGAAACGGCCATTTCTTCTGGCATCGGCGGGCGCCCCGTCTCCATTGTGCGTGTACTGCGCGTCTCCTTTACGATGTCTCCCCTCTCCGGCGATGGAGACACATCTCCGCAGTCCGGAAGGAGACACGGTTCAGTGAGCAACCACTGCCTCGTCTCCCCCGCCGTCGCCGCCGTCGTCTTCGGGCTGTGAGGGGAGAGTCGGCCCCGTCTGTAGATTTTTGGGGCCGGCCCGGGCCTGGCTGGCGGGGGTGCGGGCGGGGGCGCGATGGGGAGAGGAGAGAAGAGAGAGGGAGGGAGAACGGTGACTAATCCAGGGTACGCTGTGCTGACGTGGTCTCTGGTCTCCCACTGAAGATGGCAGCAACCAATGCTGAGTTGGGATGCATTAGAAAGATAGTGGAGACGACGCTTTGTCCAAATCCGCGTAAGAGGTGCGCTTAGACGAGGCCTAGTTTTGTCTAGATAATAGCGGATGTAGGACAATTAGAGAACATTTACATGGATTAACCAGATTTAATTATGCAGTGGCGGCCCTCATTTAGCTAGTTGATTGTGGAATAGGTACTATTCTTAGGACCGAGCGCTAACCGAAAGTTCACACTGTTCTTAGCGACAAGTTCCCGTGCTTTGTCTGGGAATCGAGCATGGATGACTGTTTGAGAGCGAGAGAACTAACCCCTGAGCCAGACATCCCCACAACGGGTTATTCGATATCTCCATCACAGTGCAGTATCGTTCCGGCGATCAGTAAACGTCCGAGCTGCTCCCGGCGTGCAGCGTTTTCAGGCGGCGCTGTTCAGAAATCGGAGCTGTCTCCCCACAATGAGATTCGATCGCCGGTCAGACCGAGAGAGACGCGTCTGTTTGTTTTTCCCTCACTGTTGGTGACAGTAGCGCCGCGCCGCGCTGGAATGGCGCAAACGCGGCGCGGCGCGCAGAAATGGGACAAACGCGACGCGTCACAATGCTATCTGGACTGAGATCGGACATGTGTGAGGCGGTGTCCTGACCTGTCCTGAATCTTCCGTTGTGTGTTGGCTCGGATTTCGTGTTTTCCTGCCCCTCCGTAGCCCTTATGTATATCGGTTTATCTGCTTTGAGCCTGCGTTATGGCGTGTTTTACTGAAATTAGAAGCTTTAGCTCAAAGCGGAGGTGCTGTTATGTCGATGTTTTAATTTGTATGTAGTTTATTTATTTATACCGCATAAACGATGGAGAAGTCCCAGGGTATGTTGATCTGTTGTATTCGTATTCAGGCCTCCCTCCAACGGGCTCATATATTCCCATTTACAGGAGGGCTCCTCCTCCTCCTGGCCCTTGTTCCCCCACCCCCACCCCTTGTGTTGAGTTCCGTCATGCTTTGTTATATTTTTAATGTGTTGTGCTGTGTTCCATCATGTTGTGATTATTAACGTGCTGTTGTTGTTTCAGGAGCGCGCGCGGTGCCTGAGACCGACGTGGCGCTGTACGTGGGTCTGGCTGTGGCTCTGGTGGTGTTCCCGCTGATAGCTCTGCTCGCTCTGAAACTGTATAGAAGAAAGGGACGGGGACAGAGCATGTACGGTCTTACTGAGCGAGGTGAGTGCCTTTTATTCTGTACTTCGTAATAAGAGGCGTAAGTAAGAGCCATAATGCATATTTCCTTGTTCGATTGGCTTTTGTTATCCGCCCTTAATCTGTGTCTAAGAGTATTTGTGACAAATTTGGCAAATGCTTTGTCTTCTAAGCGTTTTTTTTTTCTTCAATTTTTGTCCTCCGAACTCCGAAGAAGCATGGTTCAACTGGTCAAAATACAAATAGTTTTGCTCATGTGATGACGCCAAATTTCGTCGATGGCCCCGAAATACAGACTAATCAGCGTTGAGTGTTACAATACCTGACCATGCCCTTCCCATACCGTTTTCAGATTACGAAGCACGCTACTACGACAACTCAAAGAAGCAGCTGGGTTACGCGCCCGACCTGACCTCTAGCGTCGCAATCATGAACCCGACCCCACCGAGCCTCAACAGCGACTACTCTTACGGAGACCCAAACAGCAACAAGACGGGTGCGTATACGAAATTTGGGAAACAATCTACGGTAGAAGCGTCATGGATCTGTTGAAATGATTGCAAGGCTAAATCCGTCAGTCCGGCACTTGAGGAATTTGAGTTACATGCAATACTGCTATCATGGCATACCAGACAAGATTTGGATTGCGGTGATATATTTTCTGCATTATCTAAAGCTTCCAGTACAATGGTGTAACATGAAAAATAAGATTGTTGGGACTAAACAGCTGAAATAGCGACTTAAAAATGATCGAAATCTGACGTTGTGTTTAACGTTAAAGCATGTGACGTGACGAGAAATGTGTAATATGGTTGAATCGCGTGCACTGATCAACTGGCATTAGTTGCATCGTACTATCCTGAAACGTCTTACATAATTTGAAGAATGTACATCCGTAACATTTAACGTCATAGTACGCAATAGAATCTTGCATCCTTAACATTCTACCGTGCCCGAAACGCAGTGAGTTGTGTTACCTCTAATTTTCACACCTTCCCTTGTCTATCTATTCCACTCCCCAAATGCCTCCTAAGCTCTCATGGGGTTCTCATTTCTGACCCTGTTTCCTCCTATAGCAACCCTAGTGACTCCTCCACAACCACGCATCAGCCATGTCTGACTCTCGCTAACTTTTCTCAACATCTCGCCAGTCACAACTCTTTCCAGCAATATCTGACTCCCCCCTCTACCCACAGCGCTGCTCAGTTCACCATCCGAGCACCACTACGACGAACCGCATGCCATGTTCCTGCCCAAACGACTCGACTCTGCACACAACTCTGGAGCGGATAGTGAGACCAGTACCGCTGCCTCGCCTGTGTCCCGGGCTCACCAGGCCGGAGATAGTGGCACGGCTCACTCGCACTCGTCGTACTGCAGCTCGCGTGAGTAGTTGAGAAGAGATTGAAATGCGGAATGGTCTACTGTTTTTCTGTCTTTGGATCAGCCCATATCTGCCATTGCTACTGTGTTGTCCTCAAGAGATAAATGCCTGCCACGCCTCATCGCCTCATGGGAACCAAAGATATTTCAGCGCAATAATCAGCTGGGCGATCTTGAACGTTCACTCAGGCGTACACATGCTAAAAGATTGTCGTGTGTAGATGTTAAAAAGTGTGAGGATTTGCTAAAGGACTTATGTCCTTTTTCCAGCCACATCTCCCCACGGCAAGTCCCTGTACGGCTCTGAGCCTGCCTCGTGTCGTCAGTCGCTACTGTCGGTGACACTGCCATCTGACGTGAATCCCGACAACCTCGAGTTGGCCACAGGTGAGGGCGCTGCCGTAGACGTGAACGAACCGATATTTGCGCTGTTATGAACGAGTATACGTAGACTAGAGATGTCAATCAGATACCATCACCGTTCCGTGCTTCTATCCTCAGGATACTGAAATCCTTCTCCTCCACACCGCCACCCCCCTCCGGGCTGGACAGGCAACTTTATCTCACGCGGGCTGCTCCCTTGGAGTGGCACCGCTGCTCCCGAGGGAGCGCACCCCGTAGCCGGGTGCAGTGAGTGCCTTGGGGCTGGGTGGCCTGTCTTCGGACGGGCTCAGCCCCGGCGACTCACTAGGGTGCCTGCCCAGACCAATGTCTCCCCCTATATCCCGGCTCTGAAATGGTCTTGTCAGACCGAAAGGGCCTAACCCAACAAAACAAAAACAAACAAAATCAGATACCAACTTTTTGGTATACCGATACCAAACCGATACCAACTTGGTATTTGGTATTTCAAGGCTAATGCATTTGATATGTTGTTGGTATTGTGAATCGTCCCTAATGTAAAAGAGGCTGTGAATTTGGTAAAAAGTTGGTATTTTCATGAGCATACAAAGTTGGTTCGGTTTCGGTATTTTTCCATGGATATTGTTGGTATTTGGTTTGGTATCGGTATCAAGATTTTCCGTAATTGACATCACTAACGTAGACCGTCTGCTCAAAAACTGTTGATTGCGCATTCTATAGAAGAGTAGGACAGATTAACCCAGCGACTGAACGTACCACAGAATGATTGTTATTGAAGTATTCTTTAGCGACATTACAATGTGTTTTCATTCAGTAATGTGACGCCATGCATTTCCCTGCATTTCATTGACGCCACCCGTCGCATTCATTTATGTCCAATAACGTCCCTCTGTGTATTTCAAACGCTTCAGTGACGTCATCCCGTGTATTCAATATACTCCAGTGACGTCATCCTGTGTATTATCTCTGCTCCAGTAACGTTACGCCATGCATTCTCTCTATTCCAGTGACGTCAGCCGGCGCTGTGCTCTCGCTGGCCGAGGCCGGCGTCAGTTTGACGATCCCAGAGGGCGCCCTGGCCGAAGGACAACAGGAGGAAATTTACCTGGTGGTGCTCAACGACTCCAAGGGCCGTCCCCAGCTAGGAGGTAACAAACGGCGGTGGCTGGGGACGAACAAATGGGTGGGCAGGAACTACCTTAGTGCTTATTTATCTTGAAGTAGTTAATTTGGTCAAGGATATTGGAACGATACCGTTAGCGCAGCTCAATCATGGGTAGGCCTAGTTCAGACATTGAATGTGAGAATATGTGCGCCCCGCGGTATATTATTTACCATGGGCACTGTTCTGAGTTCTCACACTCCCCTCACCCTGTGTTTCAGAGCACGAGACCCTGCTGTCTCCGGTGGTTCTGGCCGGGCCCGGCTCCGTCCAACTTCTCCGACCCGCCATCGTCAGTTTCCAGCACTGCGCCAGCCTCAAAACCAACTGGTCCATCTCAGTATTTGGTGGTACCAAGCAGTGGCCTGCCCCGGGCGGGTGGCATCACCTGGCGCTTCTTGGTAAGGAGAATCTCAACACCGGTGTGTACACCCATCTAGACCAGCAGCGGGTTCATGTGCTCGTGGACACCCTCCAGCCGCTGGCGCTGGTTGGAGAGCCGGGAAATGACTCAGAAGGAGTCGCTGGAGCGAATAGTGGGCCGGCTGTGAAGCTACTCCGTTTGGCAGCGTTTGGCCCCCGCCTGGTAGCAGGGTGTGCCTCAGAGTACTGTATCAGGTGCTACGTGGTGGAGGACACGCGAGCGGCGTTTGAAGCGGTGCTGCAGCTAGAAAGGAGGCTGGCCGGCAGGCTGTTGGATAAGCCGAAGACGATGGCGTTCGAGAGCGGAGGAGGAGGCCTGAGCCTCTCGCTGGAGGATCTGAGCATCGGATGGAGGTGCAAACCGCAGGGCGACTATCAGGTGAGATGGAGATGCAAGTTGTAACGCATATTCAAATTCAGTAATTACGATCGTGTGTCATGATTTGTTCAAACGTGAAATGGATTGCTCACATGCTAAACGGATGCTGAGTGCTGACATTCTTATAGATACGTTATGAGCGTTTATTTTCAACGTTTTTATTGTTCACCAGCAACCGTAGTATCATTCAATGATCATGGCCTGAGTGGCCACACCACTTCGCACCAGGCTCCCATCTATTCATGGCCCTTCCTCACCCAATTCGCCATGCCTCTAGCCATACCACGCGTCTCTAACGTTCCACATGACCCGTGCTTCACAGGAGATCCCGTTCTGGCACGTCTGGGGCAGCGCCTGCCCTCTCCTGCACTGCTCCTTCAGTCTGGAGCACGTAGGACGCGGAGGATCAGGAGCATCCCGCGGAGACGGCCTCTCCTTCTCCGCTCGCGTTCTCGTCTCGCAGAAGGGCGGTACACAAACTCGACGTCAGATGTTGCGGGTTTCGTCTGCGGAGAGCGGGCCCTTGCCGAGTCCGCTGCCAGGCCGGCCGACGGCTACCGTGACGTCGAGTGTGTCGACGAATACGAGTGGATCCTCGGGAGCGTCTTCGACGGTCACTGTGACCACACTGGATACAGGAGGATACAGGTGAGCTGGAAAGTGGGGACGTTAGGGGATACAGCTTATAGGGGGACGCGGATACCGAAATTTGATGTAGGTAAATGGAAATACGCGACTCAGAAACACTTGTAATTTTGATTTTGGACACTGGGAAAGTAAGGTTTGAGCGGTCCCGTTTCTTTATAACGTGTGTTTCACCTTCTGGCACTTTAGTCTCACGAGTCACGATTACTCTAACGCACCCGTTTATGCATGCCTTTCATAGACATGTATTGTGTGTAATATCTACACGACTAACCTCTCCCCGCCCTGTGCGTTCGCAGGCTGTCGGCAGAGACCCGTCAGAAGTTGTGTCAGCTCCTGAACCAGCCCAGCTCCCGGCTGAACGATTGGAGAATGCTGGCGCAGAGGATGCAGGTCAACAGGTTAGTGCCATAGTCGCCCCGGCGGTGTAAGGGCGACATGGGCCAGATGACAACGTATCATAGTGAAAAGTTAACTCCTCATGCGCTTGCTTACATGTCGAAGCTAGGTCTTTCGGAATTAATTTATCGAGGTGATTGGTCTCTTGGAATGTGTTTGAAAAGGCTTTTTCAGCGGGTTTCCTGATTTCATGTTCACTGCTGCACTATTAAATATTGGTAGCAAATATTGTTTTGAGAATCACTCTAAAGGAATGAAATTTACCGATTAAATGATGTGTAGATGAGTAAGCAGAGGAGGATTGCACATTTACTGAAGTTAACAATAAAGCTGGGCATTTTAGTGTTCAAGCGTAAGTTGAAACTGTCAGAAACTGAGCATCTCCCTCGCTCCTTTCATGGTGAATGCACTTCTCATATATCTGCTCCTATCTTACAGGTTCATCAACTACTTCGCCGCCAAGAAGTCCCCGACTGAATGCCTTCTGGACCTCTGGTGGGCGAGGCACGCGGACCCCTCAGCTGCCGCCACGGAGCTCCTCAACATCCTCCGAATCATGGGACGCGACGACGCGGCGCACGTGCTAGAGGCCCAGCTGGGACCTCGTGTCTAGCGAGGCCCAGGAGGGGTCTGATGGGGCCCTGTGGTGGACGGTGGTGCTCGGAGTCTCAGTTGGGAGTGGGGGCCTAGTGAGAGCTCAAGAGTCTTTTGAGGACTCTCGGGACCCAATGAGGACCATCTGGGCAAAGTGAGGATCTCGAGGCAAAATGAGGGTTCTCGCGCATCCCAGGAACCCTCAAGGCCCAGTGAGGAATCTCAGAGACCTTTGATCTGACGAAGATTCTCGATGAGACCCTTATTGCCGTGAAGAGACGTCCTACATCTGATATTGCGCCGTTCTGGCCTCTGATTGGTGCACACCTGGTGACACGTGACCCGTGACGACGCCTGATTGGTCAGCTCTCTCTCGTACAGCCAATCACATGTCGTGAAATCAAAAGCCGTCACGAGAGGACACCCATTCGCCGGGCGCGTAGCTCATGTGATATTTTTATATTTGTACATTTGTACTGTGGCGTAGCTTGAACTGCGATTGTTAACAGGATAGCTTCTGCTGGTAGCTGCCGCCGCCACCCGACTGTTGCTTATTTATAGCTTGTTAAGCGTGTGAATAGTACGATACCTCGTACAGTGCGACTTTTGGGCTTGTGTGTGGGATGTATTGTGGGAAAAGAGGATGGGATAGATAGCTCTCGCTGAGGACTCGAATGTCCTCTCTGTCTCGCTGCTCGCGTTTTGCCACGTCCACTGTCTTCCAGACCAGTGGCCAAATGTGTGACGTCATGTGTTGGACAGCTTGCTGATGATGTCATTGTGTGATGTCATAAGTATGTGACGCCCTGTTAGAGGTATGGGACGGAATTTGAGCATTGAGCTGCTTGTGTGACTCGTTTTGCTGAGTTAGGATAAAATGCCGTCCTTTGGACACACGATAGAGAAAGAGAGGAAGATAGGTGGAATGCGTGGGAGGAAACAAAAGAAAATTAATGGTAACCGATAAGATGACAAAGCTAAAACAGCGGCAAATGCGGCTGTTTAAAAGAAATACCTGTTTTGTTTATAGGAAATGTCTGGTTGGATGACTTGAACTCGGTTTTACATAGAATGCGCTGACATGCATTGTATAGGCGTGTGTTCTCAGCTTTGTGATATGAACTCTGAACGTCGTCGAGAATTGCTTGTGTATGTTTGCGCCGTATGTATGTAATTGTATGTCTCCTGACCAGCCTCTGGGCAGAGGCCAGGAGGAGAGAGAGAGAGAGAGAGAGAGAGAGAGAGAGAGAGAGAGAGAGAGAGAGAGAGAGAGAGAGGGAGGAGCGACGCTGAGCCGAGCTCTCAGTTCTGTAGTGCCTATGCAACCATGTGTCAACTAGTCAGTGAGTAAACTGTGGGAAGAATGTAGATTGTTTGATAGAGAGCCAAATATATTTTAAACGCTGTTCGGTGTTTGCTTGAGGGTTCGCACATACGGTCTTGGTATCGCAGTCAGCTTGTTTTGTTTATTTGTTTTATTGGGTCAGGCCCTTTCGGTCTGACAAGACCATTTCAGAGCGGGAAGGATGATAGGAGTTAGGGTTGGGGGGGGGGGGGGGACATTGGTCTCGGCAGGCAGTAGGCACCCTAGTGAGTCGCCGGGGCTGAGCTCGTCCAGAGGACAGGCCGACTAGCCTCCCAAGCACTCACCGCACCCGGTACGGGCGTGCTCGGCTTACGGGCTAGATTCCGCAATCCGCATGGGATAAAGCTCCCCGTCCAGACCGGAACAGGCGGTTGGAAGATCTGACTATCCTGAGGCTGGAAATGACGGAACAGTGACTTAGCCAGCGGTTTCACCCTGCGCAAGCTTACAGTGCCACCTAGCGGCGACGTATTTAACCTTTAGTTGCCGCAAGTGCTGCCACCTACGGCCCGAACTACCGAGCCTCGAATCCACTAGCTGCACATAACACAGGCACCAAGCCATAGGGACAGAGGCCGCCGCTAGATGTCACTAATGGTATACCGCGCAGGCCGTGGATGTGTTATGTGCAGCTAGTGGAAAACGGGTTCGGTTGTTCGGGGTATAGGTGGCGCTGTTTACGTGAACTTGAGGTTCTGAATACCGCTAATAGGCGTCTCTACCTATCTAATCAGCCGATTGTCACCGGGTTATTCGTAGACAATTCATCTTTCCAAGGCGCATTATAAGATAAATAAGCCTAAGGACGTAAAGTTGATATTTTTTACTGTAAGAGCGGCAGTGACAGTGACAGTGACAGCAGTGACAGTGACAGTGATGATTGCAATTGTCGGCATCTGGCCGCGTTGCGAACGGTGTGTACTTACACATGTTTCCATGCTGTTTGTTGCGATATTCATTCACAAAATGTGTAGCCTGTCATGTGATGTCGTCTATCCGCCTGTTTCGGAGCTTCCCCAGCGTCAGGCACGCTCCGTCCCCTGTATAGCATCACAGCCCCTCCCCCAGCCCCTCTGCTGTTGTTAACCTTCCAGGCGGTGGGGGGGGGCAATTTTTTGCCCCCCCCCTTTACTTTTTTCGATATATCTCGAGAACCGCTGCGCCGATCGTCACCAAACTTTCAGTACCCTCCCGGGAGCAGCTAGCGCACATGGTGACCAAAAATTTTTCCAAAGGCTATGATAGGTTGGCCGCTAATGACGTAAGAGTGACGTCATTTTTGCCATTTTCGACCCAAAAAAAGGTTTCGCGGGAAGAGCTGTCAGGCCTACAGCTTTAGAGATACAGAGAAATGTTTCTGACATAAAAGGTGTGGAATCAAAAGGGCTACAAAACTGCTATTTCGGTTTTTCAAATTTTTTGGATTTTGACCCCCAAAAATCAAAAAATAGATTTTTTGAATATAATAGCCAAAAAATCCAAAAAGTTTTTTGAATTTCGAAAAAACCGGAATATATGTGATAGTCCCTACCGCCTTCTATCTACATACCAAATTTGAGATCGATACCTCGTTTTTTGGCCAAGTTATAGCGAAAAAACTGTTCAAAATTGATGACGTCAAATTTTCAAACTCAATTTTTAGCAATTCTAGACCTCGTAGCGCAAAACAAAGACCACCATTAGACTCCCCGTGACGAGCTGCATCGAATCGATACCCATTTTGTGCAAAAATATCAACTTTGAAATTTGACCTTTTTTGACCTGACCTTGACCTGACCTCCACCAGAAAGTGACCTAAACCGTACCTGATGCTCTTATAAACAACACCATTGAGTTGGAAATGAAAAACTGGTCATAAAACATGCATCACATAACCTTAGTAAAGTTGGGCTCATGTGGTGACCCTTGGTGACCTTTGGTGACCTGACCTGTGACCTGACCTGGTATGACCAGTGACCTCTAATAGCAACATATGTACTAGACAACTGACGCCTTATCGCTGATTTTCGACAAAATGCGTTTTACTCGGTGTTATAGCGCTTTCCCTAGAAGCCCTGTGAACGGTGAAACATTTTATCTTTGACCTGACCTGTGACGTCATCGGTGACCCCGAGGTCAATGAAATTTGGTTTCCCTCGACAAATTTGACAGGGCTATCGAACGCCGTTTGAATTTTTCGGATCCGTCCAGTAGTTTCGGAGATACGGGGGGGGGCAAAAAAGTGCCCCCCCCCCCCCCACCGCGTGGAAGGTGGCTGGTAGGCCCACCGCCTGCCGGGTTAATCCGTCAGTCCGTCGCACCCTCCCTCCCTCTCTTGTCCCTCCCCCTCCCCTCATCAAACCCACCCCTTAGCTATCTCCACTCGCTTCCAGACGGCCCAGATCGGCGGATGTCACCGCCCGCGGCTATCAGAGGTCATCGCCGGGGTCAATCTGTTCGGCGGGCCGGTCTAGCTGCCAGGGGCCGATTGCCGCCGGCGCCGCCCCGTCCGCCACCCGGCGAGGCAGCACTCATCAATCGAATCCGGCCCGAGGCACCCCCCCCCCCTTCCCGAGCTACGTGGCTGGTCGACTTTCATCTGAATGCCCCCTCACTTACGAAGAACACTTTTGTGCTCATGGTATGTTTTGTCTATGAATATCTCAATAAAATACAAAGTACGGCTCCGATTGCGTGTCTTTAAGTCGAAGTGTCCTGGATGTCGCGTGGGAAATCTTTTTGGCGGTGGTCAGACGGTTCGGTTCGGGAGACCACACCACGGAACCCGCGTACAGAGCCAATCAGTCGACGGCAGCAGTGGACATGACGTCACACGGGCTGGGCTGACGACAGAGAATAGTGGGCGGGGCCTAAACTGCCCTAATCAGAGATCGGTATAAGGCACTTCCAGGCGCCCCAACGGGTTTACCCTGGTGGCCGAGTGGATAGCGTGACGTCAGCATGCATTTTAGACTTTTGAAGGTTTCGGGTTCGAGACCCGTTTAGGACGGAAAAATTTCCCGTAATCATGGGCGATTTCGGGTCTCGAACCCAAAACCTTCGGAAGTCTAAAATGCACGCTGACGTCACGCTATCCACTCGGCTACCAGGGTAAACCCGTTGGGGCACCTCAAACTGCCTTATACCGATCTCAGTTTTAGGGTCATTTAGGCTCCGCCCACTTTCGTTCGTGGCGAATGCCTTACCGACCGACCGACCGGGCCTGAGCTCAAGAACTGGAACTTACTCCAGCCGCAGGAAAGGGCAAATTAAGTGGATTTTTTTAACCTAATTTTCTCCGCTTTGCGGGTCTAGGCACTCTAATACCAGCCACGCGAGATCTCTTCTTACGTCGCCATTGGGCTTACACGACTGTTCGCCTCCGCGTCATGTTTCGACCATATCAGACCACACAAACCATGCTTTTCCGCCCTTTATTTGCCATAGCGCTCAATCTACGCACCAGCTGCTAGCCCACGCCTCGCGGGTCCGTGGAACGGCTGAGGTATCAACATCAAGTTATTTATTTACGAAGATAAAGGCGACTTATCTTTCGACATTCAGTCTTACTATCAGTTTTTCAGCGCTTCACATAGATCACTGTCATACACACACGGAAAACACCAAACACGCCCTTGAGTGATACAGAACCACACTTTTACATTGACTATCAGAGATCGAATACGGAATGACGAACAACGAAGCGTTTCATATACCAATATGAAGCGAATGTGTCAACGTTCCATCAAACAACGACACGGCGATGACAATAAGAAGACGACAGAGCTGCAGTGTCCACACATGGCAGCGATAACTGACGGTACAAACACCTTCCTTGAGGTCGGCTTCAGGGCGACTTCAGTTACCCCTATCACCAGCAGTTAACGAGAGACATTTACAGCATAAAGAGTCGACGAGGTGCAGCTATGCAGCAAACGTGCAATAAAACAATCTGGCCATGCAGACCAGGTGTGAGCGGTACAGAAAACACGTCCACAGCTTGAGAGGAGGCGCACCACGATACAAGTACTGCTATTTGAGGGTTGCTGAGGTGTGTCACCGACGAATCTGTGACAGCAAGTCCTAGTAACATCGCATCATGAGATTTAACACCAGCAAAGCGACACTTAACAGACGCTAACCATCCCATAGAACATAACGACACTGTTCTGAATCAGAGATATGAGACAGAGGTCCGTCGGTTCAAATACGCCCACTGAGGGTCGACGGACAGCCGCGCCTTGTGAGCGACGGTGCTGCCATCTGTGCCGGCGGTGAGCTCCGCCGAGGGCGGCGCCAGCTGCTGGAGGTCGCTGTTGTTGTTGTTGTGGTTATTGTTGTCCCTCTACCGGGCGAAGTCCAGGTCGCCCGTCAGCCAGCGACTCTAGATGGCGCCTGAAGTGGCGGGCTAAGCCTGCGACGACGTCGCCGTCGCGCAGCTGCACAGGCTCTACGTGGATCTTGCCGAGCATCTGAATAAGGAGATCGGCGAGACTTGGACACCGGAGCAGCACGTGCTCCGGGGTATCCGCCTCTTCTTTGCATACGATGCAGCGTGCCGCTGGGCTGTCCTCAGGCCACCCGGGGCACGAGTTCGTCGGGAGGCGGCCGATGCAGTGAAGATACTGACGGGCCATTCCCTCGCGACCGGCCCGCAACTGGTGAGCATCCACCGCCTTGCTCCTGCTCACGCCGGAGACCGGATGCGGTCCCCCCAGATTCACCGGAAGAAAGAGTCCGGCCAGACTTGCGCCATGCCCCTGCAGCTGTCCTGACCACGGCGCCTGTGATGGTGCGGACATCCGCTGGCGCCTCCTGATGGAGGCCGGATGCTTCCTTTGCCAGCTCATCCGCCTTCTCGTTTCCGGGTAGACCGCAGTGCGCTGGTACCCACAGCAGCATCACCTCTTGGTCTCTGGCTGAGATGCTGAGCAGCAGGGCCCAGATCACTGCACCTATCGGAGTGGTTTGCGATCCCGGATCTCCGGCTAGCTGGGACAGCGCCGCCTGGGAGTCGGTGCATAGAACCACGGGTCCCTCCGCCTAAGCACCTGACATGCTGCTGACCTCTAGGCGCCGCTTTGATGGCACATAGTTCGGCGCGGGTGCTGGAGCACAAGCGTCCTGCGGCGACCTTGATCTCCCTGGTCTCCCCGTTCCTGAGTAGTAGGAGGGCGCCGCCGCCGCCGTTCGTTGTGCCGCTCTCCGCTGAGCGATCGCTCCAGATCCAGGTAGCGTCTGCTGGAAGGGTGGTGAGGTGCTTCTCGGCGGTCTGGCGGCGGATCGTGGCGGGGGCGCCCCGGGTAGCCGCCCCGCTCATAGTCTGGGATATCTTAATTGCTCCCGGGCCAGACCACGGGGAGAGCATCACCTGCAGGCGCTCCTTCTTCTTCTCCTGCATCCCGCCGCCAACCCGCTCAGGGGGGCGGCGGCGCAGACGGGTCGAGCGGCGGCTCGGTCCGCCCGACACCCTCGATGAAGTCGACGACCTTCGCCGCCGGGCCGCCGAGGACGTCGACCAGGCGAGGGTCGACACCCCAGCGGCGGCGGCGGGCCGCCTCATAGGATGGACAATCGGTCAGCAGGTGCGTCACGCTGTCGGGCTCCCCGCACGCGGGGCATTCGTCGTCGGCTGCCAGGCCAATCTTGTAGAGCGTGTCGCGGGTCAGCGGTGATGTGCCGGTCCTCAGCTGGGACAGCGTCACCGACCCCCAGCGCGCCAGGGAGTCGTGGCCAGGCGTGGGGTCCGGGTGCGGGTGGGCAGCGGTTGCCCTCCGTCGCGACAGCTCCCGGACATGGCGCATGACGGCGGCCCGCGCACTCGACAGGTCTGCAGGCGCTCCTCCACCGGCACGTTCTCCAGGGAGCAGGCTCGGAGGGCCTCAGCTCTCCCCAGGTGTCCCCATCCAGTGGTCGACTTCAGTCGGCGAGGGGGATCCTGGTCGGCGATCACTCGCAGTGGGTCGTCTTCGGGTAGCGATCTCGCCAGGCATAGCATCCGCCTGATCTGGGCGACTGGTAGGCCGGCCTCTGCCATGAGCGGCGCTTCCGGAGTTGATCGTGTGCAGCCGGCCACCACACGAGCCACAGATCTAGCTCACGGTCCAGCTGTTCGACATGTCCGGAGCTGCTGTCGTTCCTGCAGTCCCCGCGACCGGCTCGTCATGGAGTACAGGTGGGTAATCCGGGGCCTGGTTTTCCTCCTAACGCTGGCGCAGTGTGAGGTCGCTCGCTGGAGGTCGCTCGCCAGCCCCGGTGGCGCCATCTGCAGCGACGACCGCTCCGCCTCGTTCTCTAGGTCGATCCGCATGAGGTGGCGCCAGAAGGCGCCCCACCTCCGCCTGCGGGCAAACAGAGGGAGCGGCGGTCGTCAGATGAGTCTTACGGACGGCACACAGTGAGTCGACTGCGGGAGGGGGGAGGGGAGGAGTGTTAGACTGAACTGCACGAAATAGGGACATGAAAATGTTCAATGTGTGCAGTTCAGCGATCAGTATGTCACTTTCCAATCGCTAATCGTCTCAAATAATTTACACATTAGGTTTCACTCCGTGCTAACGTGCACAAAGTGTTTGGCTGATGCCTGATCAGAATTATTTTTCAGCATACCTTTGGTGATGAACGAGAAACGTGATAAAAACGCCAACGGACCTGCACGGCAAAGGACGTGAAATTAGAGAAAATTGATGGATAAAGTACAAACGGAAGAGAGTTGATGGAAGATACAGAGTAGAATAGATCAGCGGCGATGAGCGTCTAGAAATACAAATCAATACAGCTGACGGTAAAAGACGACACAATGAAAAAAGACAAATAATAATAATAAAGAAATGAAAGGAATGGGTCCACCTTCTAGAACTATCATTATATCGTTATTTTCCAATTTTACATTATTTTTCATTTTCTTTTCAAAGCTGGTACCAGAAGCGCATAATTCGCGAAAAAAATATTTAAAATTATCTAACATATTGATACTATGTTGAATGTTAATATTTTCTACGGCACCTACTGTATGATGTCAGCAATGACGTCACACTCGAGCCTTGAAAAGATAGACTCGCCGGATTGCGTCGGATAAGCTGATTGGTTAAAAATGAGCTGATTGGAGCTGATTGGTTAACCCGCGCCCCACTGGGGTCTGTGTATAACACGCCCTACTGGGGGGGGGGGGGGGGCTATTCATAGCCCCCCCCTCCTAACTCCGAAACTACTGGGCCGATCGTCAAAATTCAAACGGCGTCTGATAGCCCCGGAAAACTGTCGAGCGAAACCTGATTTCATTGACCTCGAGGTCACCGATGACGTCACAGGTCAGGTCAAAGTAAAAATTATTAGCATTTTGGCTTGTTCACATTTTGGGCTCTGGCCGCCGTCTTACAAGTCAGATCAGGCTCATTTTTGGTTTCCACACTCGTGAACAGATGCTCTAGATACCTTGAGGGTACCAAACTTGTACTTTGATTTTCAGATCAGGGTCAGGTCATCACAGGTCACGGAAATATTATATCATGCGTCGGTCACGTGACACAAGTTTTATGGTCCATTTAGGCCATAGATTTCGAAGTTGATGTCGTCTGTGTCATTCGAGGTCATTTTGAGTCGAATTTAGCTTAGGTCAGGTCACTTTCAGGTCAAAAAAGGTCAAATTTTTAAGTTAAAATTTTTCAACAAAAAAGGTGTCTATTGGATGCAGTTTGAGCTCAGGAACACGATGGTGCCATTTATATTGGTGTACGATGTCAAATACGTACTGAAAAATTGGTTTGAAAAATTAATAATTGTGAATTTTTTGCAATAATGCGTATAACTTGGCCATTTTTGAAGATATTTAGCTAAAACTTGCTAGAATTAGTCATAATTATGCGTTCTGTCACATATATTCCGGTTTTTTTCGAAAAGTCAAAAACTTTTTGAAAAAAAAATATAAAAATATAAATTTTGAATATTATTATATAAAATTTTCGAAATTTTCTAAATTTTGAAAATTCGAGATAGCAGTTTGATAGCGCGGTCAATTCTGAGTCCTTTTATGCAAAGAAATTGGATCTAGCTTAAAAACTGAGCTCTTGGGAGCGATTGCCGTGGTTCAAGGTATTGCGTCGAAATCGGACGAACATGACGTCACTCTGACGTCATTTCCGGCCGACCTATGGTAGCTACGAAGTTCAAATTTTGACACAAGGTGTCAAATTGATGCAGCCGAAGGTACTGAAAGTTTGGCGTCGATCCGTCAAGCGGTTTGGAAGTTATTGCAGAAAAACGGGAGGGGGCTATAAATAGCCCCCCCCCCCCAGTGGGGCGCGGGTTAAAAGCAAAGCCTCTCCGCGGGTGGATGTATTACAGGACAAGACGCATTCCTGGGATAAGGACGCATTCGTCTTGTTAAATGTGTCCCTTTTTCCAAGTTGTTTGGAGCACCTTTGGAGATGATACGTGCCACATGGCTATCAGATGGTTATACCATTTGCCGGCAGTGGTATATGCGCATCTAGCACAATACACGACGATATTCTATTTCTAGAACCACAGTAGGCTGTGATTAGTGAGATTTTAGACTGCACATGCTCGTTAGAGCCGACAAGACATAGTTAGGACGGGAGGAGGGGAGGGAAAGACAGAGCATTACCGGTCTAATAGTTCCTATTTTGTACATAGGGGAGAGTGGGGCAAAGCGGCCACCCTAACGCTTCTCACGATGCCAACCCTTGATTTTTAAACTTGGAAAGATTCTTTGTATACCAATGTGATCCCTATAAAGTTGCCTTCTATTTCAACTGCGTTTTATTTCCAAAGGCGTTCACATATGAAAGATATTGACAAAACTTTGAACCTATGCATATTGGCCACTTTGCCCCATACCCTGGGGCAAAGCGGCCACCGGCGTATTCTCAAGTCCCGATATGAGAAACAAAATAGTTGCCTCGTGTACGACTAGGGTATTTGATGGTGACAAGGTTAAGCGAGGATGGATGTTTACTTTATCATCTTCCACCTGTAGGTAAACAAAGGAAGGATTTTAATGAAAAAAAAACATTTAATTGCATTATTTGGTAACTCAAGCAACTGAAAAGTGGCCAAGATGAATGCATGACGACACATTTGAATATAAATAAGGTTTTTATCGAGATGGAAGCAACTTATGGCCAATTGGGGGGTGGCCACTTTGCCCCGGCCACTTTGCCCCGCGCGTACCGTCCGAGACAAAAATATTCCAGCTTAGCTATTAGTGGGGTAAAAAACATTAAAATTGGTAGAATACATGTACGATAACCATGCAATGCATGGACAAGACGGCCTATAAAAATTCCAAACGGTTATGGAATAACATAACATTTAAAAATTGTAAACATAGTTGGTAATCTGGCAAGAAATGCTTTTCCGTGTTTCACAGAACAATGGTGATGGGCCTGAAACTCCGGTCTGGCTCATTAGAACGACCGTGAAGAGAAGTATAATTGGAAACCATGAATTGGAACTGACGCCAGCTATGAAGGGCTAAAACGATGGGTGGCCGCTTTGCCCCGGGTGGCCGCTTTGCCCCACTCTCCCCTACATTGAAATAAGTCGCATGGTGGTTGAACATAAATAGACGGCTACACGTAAACCACGGTAAACAAACATTCACATATGTAATCAGGGGAAATAAACGGTCACACAACATCTCAAATAGATGGTCATTTATACTACGACAAATATACGGTCACATATGTCACGTCAAAAAGACGGTCACATACACTATGTCAGATTAACGGTCCTACATAATCTGAGGCAGCTTTTGCAAAAATGTCGGGGAATTAATTAAAGTTTGTAATAGAAAAACACAGTTTTACGAAAAATGTTGAATGCAAACTTCGGTTACCACAACACATAACTGGTCACATACGTCACGATAAATATTGCGTCAAACTTTGTCAATATGATGCAAGGATAACTTTTTAATTTTGTTTTTAACTTTACCATTTTGGAGTTTCAACACGAAAATGGAGTTGTAGCGAAGGAAAGAAGAAAAGGAGGAAAAGAGAGGAGTGCTTCATCGTTGCAGTTCATCAAACTGCGATCCTCTGTCGTTCAGCTGGTTGTAGAAGAACAGACAACTATTTGCTGCTGGAAGGAACTCGATAGTAGAGCTGGTGATACAAGGGAGCTTGAGAGTCGTTGAAGAGATCCCGAGAGAGATCTAGAGAGAGATCCAGATAGTGATGAGATCCACCTGATGAAGATGAGATAGATGTAGATATCCAGATAGAGATCTTGAGATGACGTCCACCTGGGAGAGATGTAGATAGCGATCCACCTTGCATACAAATACATCTGATGGAAGATGCTTTTTAATTTAGAGGCTTGATGATTCTGTTCATTGTATAGACCATGATGCACGAGATGCTTCTTCACTGCTCGGATTAGGGATACAGGGGTCCGATCAGCTGGGTTTGCGGCACAGTTGGGTAGGTGAAGGACAGGGCATTCGAAGTCCCGATAACCACTGCCAAACATATAGGTGGTAATTACGTTGATAAATTGAATGTGATCATTCGTCCAGTCACCTATTCCTATATCACTGGCCTCCCCATTAAGAAAATTGCCCACTTAATTCGTATTAGCGTTGCTAGTTTAAGTTGCCCTCGAGATTAATTAGTTTGACTGTCCTAACTGAGCTTCGCTAAACTCCCATCGGCCTTATCCTAAGATTCATCCTTTACCATTCTCACTCTCATCCTCTCTCTACGTTCGTTCGTCATATATTCACCCCAAATTTATTTAGCGCCCCTCGAATTCCCTCCGATGGTGTTAGGTGCCTGACTAATAGCGATCTCCCCGGCGAGATAAATGTCTCTTCCGAAATCCATATGCATGCTCCGCTAACCGGCGACAAAGATACTAATCGCAGGGCCGTCCAGAATAATTATGCACAAATATCCACCCTGCTATTTTATGGGATTCACTACACGTCCGATAGACTTATGGTACACACATACACGATTTATATCCGACTTATCTCTCTACCGGGAGAGATTACCTATGCCCTCTTCCGGTCCGCGTGCAACATCCCCGTTCACGACCCAGGGACCCTAGTTCATATCCTGGAACTATCCTTAATTAACCATGGGATTTACTCTTCAAGGCCTTACGTGTCCTGGAGTACATTCTTCCCTCCCCTGAGGCTGTCCAGTACCGATTAGAGTACCTTTACGAAATAAGTATGAGGACTTACCCGGGACACTACGGCTCGCCTTATCCGCCCTTTGGGTGACTGACCCCTGACCTTCGGCTTCTTGCCTTTGGCATAACTTACTCTCCACTGCATACTGCGCCAATCTTCCCCTTTCCCCCCTGCCGTAGA